ATAGGGTGAGCTGGAAGCTCTGGCCGGTGCGCAGCTTTGCTTGGCAATGGCTGTTTCTTTGACGGGTGCCTTTGTGGATCCCATTTCACCTCGCGCACATACTAATGATGGGTAGCATTCCGTGGCAGAGGGTGCTATGAGGATTTCGCGTGCCACGCGCTGAAAATTTCGGGGTGCAGTTCATACTGGCCTTTCACCTCTTACTTCGATCTGAAGGCGGCCGTTGCGTTTGTGGACCCGCTCTCCTCTGGCAGTTTCACAGGCACTGCCGGCGCGATTGCTGCATCAGGTTCTGGGCTGTTTGAGTTCTATTAGCTCTGACGTGGAAGAGCCCAATTCAACCAGGCCTGCCACGTGTGGTTCGATTGAACGGGGTCGAATGATCGTGCCGCATTTCTGGTGCACTGGCGATGCGATTCGACGTGGGGCCTGATTATCTCAACGCCGACATCGTCGATGCATTGCCGACGTCGCCCGTGCATCGCCGATGCATGGCCGATGCATCGGCGATGCGGCACGATCCTCCGACCCCGTCTGCTCGGATCGCATTACCTCCAATTCTGCACGTAGGGCCCAGTCAACGCCGTGGATCGACAGCTACCTTCTAAGAGCGACTTAGAAGCTCAGCCTTCTTGGTGAATACTGTGACCGCCCAGTTCTGTCCAACGGCGGTTGGCCAGCCATTTGCTGCGTCAGCAGAACTGCATTTTCTGCCAGCTATTTGGCGGGAGAAGATCCACAGCAGGTTGGAAACCCGTGTTGCGCACGAGGTCGCGGTCGAATTGCGTGGGACACGTGGTGAGTCACATTTTTCCCCATATCCAAAGTGGGGCTCTTGTTTTCTCTGGGCACCCCGCGCAGGAACAGGAACACCCCCTCCCTTCTCACTCACTCACACACATCATCATCATCATCATCATCATCATCATCATCATCATCATCATCATCATCATCATCATCATCATCATCATCATCATCATCATCATCATCCTCATCCTCATCCTCATCCTCATCCTCATCCTCATCCTCATCCTCATCCTCATCCTCATCCTCATCCTCATCCTCATCCTCCTCCTCATCATCCTCATCACCAGCATCAGCATCAGCATCAGCATCAGCATCAGCATCAGCATCAGCATCATCATCGCCGTCATCGCCATCATCACCATCACCATCATCATCATCATCATCATCATCATCATCATCATCATCATCATCATCATCATCCTTATCATCATCATCATCAGCATCAGCATCAACATGACCATCGCCATCATCACCATCATTATCACCATCATCATCATGATCATCATCATCATTCCGTAGCCATTTTGGCTCAGGCCTTTCCGTAGGCGCCCTGCTCCTGGACCTTGTCCTTCTGAGGGCCTTGGGGGGGCAGGGCTCTTGGCCCACGGAACGATGGTGGCGCGGGATGGCGCGGAGTGCGCGCCACGGCGATCGGCGGCCCAGCGCAGGGGAGGCCGAGAGTGGGCGAAGTGGTCCGCCGACAATGCCGTCAGGCGGCTCTCGGGCGAGCTGGCCAAGACCCGATTTCGCCGGGAAGCCGCGGAGGAGGCCCTGTGCGCCGCCATCGGCGACGGCGAGGTTGGGCAGCGACTGCAGGCGATGCTCACCGCGCTGCAGGCCAAGCTTGGGGGTGGGCCCCCACATGGCTCGAGCGCCTGCGGCGTAATGTCGCCCTCTGTGCTGAGGCGCAGGGCGTGGACATCGTGGCGGCGGGAGCGGCGGAGCTGCGCTGTGCCCAGCGGGGGCCCCGGCTGGAGGGGCGCGCGGCGCCCAGGCGCGAGGCCGAGGAGGCTGCCGCTGGGGCGATGCGGGCGGAGGCGCCCTCCCCTTTTCCTGCTGGCCTCCTTGGTGTTGTCACGCCCGACCTCGCGCCTGAAGGAGTCGGCCGAGATGGGAACGTCCGAGCTGAGCGGGCGCGGCGCCACCTCGCGGTAGTCGCCGTGAGATTCAGGGACTACGTCGACGCTATCGCGGAGGACGGCAGCGAGCAGCTGGAGCCTCTGGATGGCAGGCCGCGGGCGCGTTTGCATAGGGAGCTCAGGCGCCTGCGGAAGCGCCTCCTTCTACTGGGGCCAGCAGCGGTCCTTGGTGAGAGCAGGGGCAGACCCTAACGGAGGGCAACGGGCAACGGCGCGAGTGGTGGTGGGGACAGTGGTGGGGACGGTGGTGGTGGGGACAATGGTGAGGGGACAGCGGGACAGTGGTGGGGACAGTGGGACAGTGGTGGGGACTGTAGTGGTGGGAACAGTGGTGAGGACAATTGTGGGAACAGTGGGGGCAGTGGACAGTGGTGGGGACGGTGGTGGTGGGGACAGTGGTGTGGGGACGGGGAGGTGGAAACAGTGGGACAGTGGAGGGTACAGTGGTGGTGGGGACAGTGGTGAAGGCGGTGGCGAGGACGGCGGTGGGACAATGGGACAGAGGTACAGTGGGGACAGTGGTGGGGACAGTGGGGACAGTGGTGGGAACAGTGGGACAGCTCAGTGGGACAGCGGAGGAGTCAGTGGGACAGTGGGGACAGTGGGGATAGTCGGGCAGTGGTTGGGGCCGTGGAGAAAGTGGGGAGAGTGGAGCCGTGGTGGGAACAGTGGTGGGGACAGTGGGGACAGTGCGACAGTGGTGGAGCACTGGTGGGGACAGTAGGGACGGTGGTGGAACCAGCGGGGACAGTGGTGGTGAGGACAGTGGTGCTGGGAACAACAGTGGGGGATGTGGCGCGGACGGTGGTAGGGACCGGGAGTCGTTTGCTGGCGGTGAGTGGGGGGGGGGGGAGGGGTTCGAACCGGTAGTGACCCCCCCTCCGGTTTTCGAGGGGGGGGGGGGTCGAGCCGGTAGTGACCCCCCCCGGTTTTCGAGGGGGGGGGGGGGGGGGAGGGGGGGGGGGGGGGGTCCAGCGGGGGGGGGATTTTCGGAGGGGGGTGGGGGTGAGACCCTCGGGTTCCGGAAGAAAGCGGTGGCAATTTTCCACAGTAGAGCGGCGGTGGATCACGCTCTCTCTTATATCAGCATGCAGTGGTCTGTTCCGAATTCCCGATTGAAATTCCCAATCGCCGAATTCCCAATTCTGCAGGATCCTCAATTCCAAATTCTGCTCACGTTTCATATCTGTTGTCCGGCTGATCGTCGACTTGTAGCCTCTTTCATGAGACTTGCATGGCTCTGGCGGGCAGCAGCTTCCTTTGCGTGTTTTGCGCTTCCCACATCAGCGATGAATGACTTTGCGGCGGTCAGTGACCCGTGGGGTTGACCAGCGCCGACAGAAGATCCTAACGTTTTGCGCATCCCTGCCAGCCCATCCAGAAACGATGCCGGGGGGAGCTGCCGTTGTCGGGGGTACGCGGCACATCAGTTGGAAAACCGTGGGAGTCTCTTGGGATGTCTCTTGGAGGTCTCTTGGGGCATCTTGGGGGCCTCCCTGCGGCCTCCTGGGACGTTTCGGGGGCCTCTCGGCGGTCTTCGACGCTTCAGCCGCCTGGGGGGCGCCCCGTCCAGGCCCAGGCGGAGGCGTCGGGCGAGGGGCGCGCCCCTCCCCGAAGGGGGAGCAAAGGGAGAGCGGAATTGGAAACCTGCGTCCGGAAGAGACAAGATCGAGGAGGAGCCATTCGAAACCACCTCCGCCCACAGGGCTGGTGGGAGGAGGAGGAACCCCGCGTGCAGTCAGTCACCTCGTCCAGGTCGGATACCACACGGTCGGCGGGAGATGCGGTCCTCGTCATGGCCTCGTCTTGAGAGGGCCCCCCAAAAGGCCCACCAACGCCGACCCTCGAGCCTCGAGCTTCAGCGGCCGCGGCGTCGTCGTCGCCCCCCGCCGCACCTCCTCCCTCCTTCCCTTACTCGTCGGTCGTTGAACGTACGTACAATCTACTCTATGCGCCTTCCTACTTCAATGCTCGAGTGAGTTCCCCTTTTCCTTCATCATTTGGCGGTTGGCAGAAACTCTACTTCAACTTTCTATTTCATGCTTCTACCCACTTCTTCCGACCGACGTGCACGCATGCCGTGGGAGCAGCAGCTCTCAGCGTCAGCCCTCTTTCCTCTCTTCCTCCACTCCCCCATCCAGCCCACTTCTCCCCCCCCCCTCGAAGGGGCAGCAGCGGGGGGGATGTAGGCTCAAAGGGGGGCAGCATCGACCCCCAATCGTCCACTGATCGCCGATATGGGGCCCGATAGCGTATCCCGCCCAGGAACGTGCGGACTCGGCACCGGCGGGCCTGTCGGTGATGCACTGCCGATTCCAGGGCTGTGCTTCCCCCTCCGAGCCGGTTTTTCCCTGACGTTGCCCTCGACCTTGCGCGATTCTTTCGGGGAGCCTCAGAGAGTCCCACACATTCTTGCGGGTTTGAGGGGGTCTCGTCCAAAATTTCGGCGGACTTGGTCGACGTCTGGACGACATCTGAACGAAGTCTGGACGAAGGGGTGAAGATCGGCGGCGAGCCCGGAGGGGAAGTGAGAAGGAGAAGGTCTTCTCAGAAGGCTCGAAGTCCACCGGCTCAGAAGGCTCGAAGTCCACCGGCTCCGAAGGCGGAGACACTTCTCAAAAGGCGGGAGGGCTTCTGAGAAGTCCCGCCGCCTTCTGAGACGGCCTTCTCCCTCGCACTTCCACCCTCGCTCGCCGCCCAGAAGCGGGGTGGTCGAAATGTGTATGATCTCCGGCCGAACTCGCGTTCATGATGCGGCCGTGGAGGTCCCCACCGCGGCTCTTATATGAGCAACGCAACAAAAACGGGGATGTCTGTGCCGACATTGGCGCGTAAGCTGCCCGCGTAAGGTCGCGCGTAAGCGCCCTCGTCTCCGATGTAGCATGCCGCGCTGGCGGCACGCGTGAGCCGCCGCGTAAGTTCGCTATGCCACCTCGCGTAAGACCCGTTTCTGATCGTCGCTCATGTGAAGGCTCGCGCAGCCGACCTCTTGGAGCCTCGAGCGACCGCGGCGTCGCCGCCGCCCGCCCGCCGCCAGCCCTTCACCTTCGCCGGCGAGAGCGCCCCCGAGCAGCGGCCGCTCTCTGAGAGCGAGTGCCCCCGCCGCCCCCGTGCGCGCCTCCGCGCGCGCCCCTCGCCGCCCGGGCCTCCGCCCCTCGGCGGCCCCCTCGGTGGCCCCCTCGGCGGCCTCTGGGCGGCATGGGCAGCCTTCGGCGGCGCTCGGCAGCCATCGGCTGCACTCGTAGGCACTCGGAGGCAATCGGCGTCTCCTCGCCGGCCCCTCGGTGGCCCCGTTGGGCGGCCCCGTTGGGCGGCCCCGTTGGGCGGCCCCGTTGGGCGGCCCCGTTGGGCGGCCCCGTTGGGCGGCCCCCTGGGCGGCCCCTTGGGCGGCCCCTTGGGCCTTGGGCGGCCCTCGGCGGCGGCGTCGTCGCCGTCGTCCTCCATCCGTGCAGCTGCTCCGTGCAGCTGTTCCACATGTCTGACCATGTTGAAGGCGATCTTGAGGGAGAGCACCACTATAAAAAAAAGCCGTCCTGCAGTCGTGCCATCAATGAGAAACAGTTGAAACGGTTATGCGCGGTGCTAATGCGGTAGCCCCATTTTGGGAATGAAGCCGCCCTCCATCCTCGTAGATGTTGCAGCCTCTAAGACGAAAGCGCGCGACGCTAGGGCGACAGCACCATCTCGAAAAGGAGCCGCCCTCGATCCTCGTACTCTCTACTAGCTTTTAAGACGAATGTGCGCGGCGTTGAAGGAATAACCCCATTTTGAAAAGGAGCCGCCATCCAACATTGTAGGTGCCGGAAGCTTTCCAAATTTGCAGGCCTAGAGGTTGACATCAACACCAAGATCGGCGGTGTGCCTCCACCGAGGGAAGACGATCCCGATCTCTGTGATGGTGGTAATATTCTGTCTTCCAGGGTGGCCGAAATATTGCCACCAACACCGCGAAATCTAGGATCATCTTCCCTCTGTGGAGGCAACCCCCTGGGCTGGTGTTGGTGCCAATTTCCAGGCCTTGAACATATCCATGTGCGCGGCGCCAAGGCGATATTCCACTTTCGGAACCGACCTGCTGGCTCCGTCCGCGTGACGACCTGTACGGATGGAGGGCGGCTCATTTTCGACATGGGGCTCCTGTTTGAAATCTCTTCGCTGCTGGTGGCCGGACGTGTCCATGGGTGCACCAGTGTCACGGAGGAGGCCTGGTCCTTCCGAAGCAGGGCTCTCGCGGGACAGTTCGTCAAATTGCCTGACGCGTTGCGGTATATCTCGCTCGAGCGATGGAAGACAGTTCCTTTCCAGAACGGAGCTTTTGCCCAAACGGCAGGCCCACATGGAGCTCTTCTTTCAACGGGGGAGCTTGTTCGAATGGAAAGGAAGGCTTCGAGGGATTTCTGAGGAGGGGACTTGGGTCGGTGATGAATCCTGGGTTTGCTATGGTTCTTCCTTCCTCCTCCTTCTCCTCCGTATCCTGCCTCGTCCATCTCTTCTCCTCCTCATCATCCTCTCCCTTCATCCTCTAGCTTTCCCTCTCCCCGTCTCTACCTGCTCGTGCGTCTACCCGTCCTACCCCGACTCCCCGGTTGCATCTTCATTCTTCTTCATATTACGTATCCTTCCCTCCTCCCCTTCCTCTTCCTTCCTTCCTCCCCTCTACATCCGCCGCCTCATCCGCAGCCAATTTGGCTCGAGAAGCAGCGACGGGGTTGGCGGTCGTATATAGCACGGGGGAGCTTGTCCCGCCGCGATCATGGGCGAGGACACAGATGATGAAGGAGGTTAAGGAGGATCATGGAGCAGGACTTGGGAAGTGTGCGTGTTGTGTGTATATATATATAGATATTATCATACGCACCTCTCCGAGGGAGTAGAGCTCAGAGGCGATTAATGCGCACGCGTCCGCGATTTTTCTGGCCGTTTCGCTCGGGACATCCTCGAAATTCTGAACATCGGTGGCACCCCTCACGCAGATCGTGACGTCAGGGTCCAAAAACACATGGGAATTTCAATATTTTAACATAAAGCCTTCAAAAACACATTGTAATTTCAATAATTTTGACCCCGATTCTCAGAGAATGGCGGTTTCGCCTGAAAAATCCTTCCAAAATCGAGCCCCAGACCCCTCCTCGGAGCCTCCTGGGGGCCTCCTGGAACCTCCTGGGGCCTCCTGGGGCTTTCTGGACCTTCTGGTACCCCAGACCCCGCCTCGGAGCCTCCTGGAGTTCTCCTGGGCCTGCTGAGGCCGCCTGGGGCCTCCTGGGGCCTCCTGGGGCTTCAGAACTACATGCACACACAGAGACACAAATCACGCCCAACACATCACACGCTAGACAAACATAACATACACACACAACACCGACAACACACAAAAAGCACGCACCACACAAAGCACACATCACACACACAACACTCACAATCCTGGGGCCTCCTGGAGCCTCTTCTGGTATCCAAGTCGGGCCTCCTGAGGCTTCCTGGGGGGCCCTGGTACACACATCGCAAGGTGTGGCAACCCCACTTGCGCTCGAGTGCGACTTCGCTGTTGCATGTCACTCCTGCTTCAAACGCCCCTTCAGCTTGTTGTATGAGCCTGGGCACACACGTGCCACTTGTATATATGTATATAGATATGTGTGTGCGGATTGGGGAGTGGGAGGAAGCTGGGCGGGGGAGGGGGATACCGGAGGTAAGGGACAAGGTAGATTGTAAGAAGGTCCACAGCAGCATGATGGCGAGATGTGGGGGATTGCCAGAGGAGGGGGATTTCGGTGAGGATGCGAATGAAGGAGAAAGGTATGGAGATGGAGGGGGTATGTAGGAGGATTTCGGCGGAAGAAGGAGGAGGAGAAGGAGAAGGAGGAGGAGGAGGAGAAGGAGGAGGAGGAGGAGAAGGAGGATAATGGAGGATGGAGGATGGATGAGGAGGATGAGGGACAGAGGCTAGGAACAGGAGGTGCGGAGAGGAGAGAGGAGAGAGGAGAAACGACGAGGGAGGAGGCAGGAGCGTCCTTCGTCGTCGTCCTCCGTCGTCCTTCGTCTCCGTCCATCTCGCCGCCGTCCTTGTTGTGACCCTGGGAGGAGGCCGAAGCAGGGCGGGGACGGGCCAAGGACGCGGACATGAAGGACGCCGAGGCCCCCGCGGCGGATGCGTCCGCCGCCGACGAGGCGGCCGGCGCAGAGGCCTCGGCGGCCGCCGGCCAGGAGGCGGTCGCCGCCGCCGCCGATCGTCTCGCCGATCGGGGGCACTGCTGGGGGGGGAGAAGCAGGGGCGGGCTTTTCGGACGTCTTCTTCGGTTTCTGGGGGCGTTCCTCTTACGACGGCATGGGAGCGAGGAGTAACACAGAATGCAACTGCCGTGCGGCTGAGGGAAGTTCCCACGATCAGGGGTGAGGTCACCCTGCGCAGCACTGACGCCCTGCGCAGAACAGCGAGGCCCCAGCGCAATCTTGATAACAGTGAGGCTCGCCGCTGCGGCGCCCATCCCGGATGGGGCTGCGGCCGCCAGATGCATGGCCGTGCGGCTGCGCCGCGCCTAGCGCGTTCGAGGGGTGCGGGGATCGCCCCGAACGGCCGCCGGAGACCCGAGCTATGAGTCGAGAGCCCAGGCAGGGGGGAGTGCTGGAGTCGAAGAAGAACAAACGCCATGAACATAAACTTTTGGCGCTCCGCGTGGATTTCTTGGGTCCACGCTCAGCCCCCTCAGTGGCGCCTCCGGCGCCGCCCCTGGCGCGTTCTGCGCGTCAGGAAGGGGGGGTCCAGGGCAGATCCAAGAAATCCGCGCGGAGCGCCAAACCTTCATGCTTATGCCGTTTGTTCTTCTTCTGTGGAGGAGGGCCAATCGATCAGGGCCGACGTCCGCGGGAGATAGGCTGAGGGGTGGATGCATTGACCTCCCCTCGCCCCTTGGGTGCCGATGGGGGCCCGACAGCCCACCCCACCCGGGGACATGAGGATTCGCTACTGGCGGGCCTGTCGCCGATTTATCGGCGAAGCATCGCCGATGCCAGCTCGATGTTCTCCCCCTGAGCCAGTCCCTTCCTCTATCGTTGCCCCTCATACCTCCGGAGGTCGTCATCGTCGTCGTCGTCGTCGTCGTCGTGGTCATTGTAGTCGTTGTCGTCGATCGAGGTTCGATGATCGACGTTCGTGCATCGAGCATTTGGACGTCTGAGGTCGGGTTTGGGCTTCTGGAGGCCCCCAGAAGCCTCTTTGGACATCCTGGGCTTCCGAGGCATTTGGGGACCATCTTCGTTGTCGCCGCCGTCGTCGACGTCGTCTTGGTCTTTGTCGTGGTCGTATTCTAATTCTTGGTCGTCGTCGTCGTCGCCATTCGAAGATCGAACATCGAGGCCCGAGGATACAGTCTCCCAAACAGTGCTGGAGCATGGGGGCCCTTACTTTTCGTTATACGCGACTGGTTGGGTGTTCCGAGGTTTCGCCTGGGGCCTCGGTTGGTGGCCGCCCGTGGGCGCCTCGTGGGCGCCCCTTGCGCTGGGTGGGTCTGCGGGGGTTTCGCCTGGTGCTCGCCCGTGGGCGCCTCGTGGGCGCCTCGTGCCCGCCTCGTGCCCTCTCGTGGCTGCCCGTTTGCGTCCGCTGGCACCACAGAGTGCATCATATGAAGCTCATGGCTTGCACCGCACATGCTGCACCGTGCACAGACTGCGTGACATAGCGTTTAGCGCACCGCTTGCACCACGTGCATGGCGTCGCCTCGATAGCACTACCGAGCTTGCGACACGTCTAGTGCACTGCATAGCTTATGCCACATATGTTGCAGCACGGTGGTTTCAACGTATAGCTTGCAGCAGATAGCTTGCACCACACATGTGGTTCCCCATGTCTTACCCATTCAAAAAAGGAGTAGACCTTGGCGAGCCCAGACTTATCGGACCCCCCTGGGAAGCTGCAAATTACATCTGATTCTACCCCATCGTTCATTTCCCACATGAAATTAGACCATACCAGCCAGGCCGGCATCGACCCCCCTCAACCCCGCCAAAAGATGCCATGCGCGCACAGTCGTTCATATCAAAAGACAATTTTGCGATCTATCGCTGCAAATTTCACGCCAGAAAGTCCACGCAAGCACATGTCGAACTTTTTCTAAATACATACAGTCTCCCACACGTGCCAACATAACAGCATCACCACGTCTAGGTTTACCATCCCGCGCGCACTTGTTGACACTATAAGAAGCCAACTTATAGCAATCTCGTCCAGAGACCGCATTCTCATCTCACCACGCGCTGCATCTGCGTTGATCCAGCGGGCGCCCAGTGTGCGAATCCGTATCAAATTCGTAGCACCATGCGGGCCACGCGCGCGCGCGTCGCAACGCCTGCGTGTCGAAATCCTTCCAGAACCATTGGTCTCCAAAACATTTCAAGATAGAGCTCTTCGATCACGTATAAAAAGATTTGGTGTTTCAACACATTTCTGCCAGATTTCTGGGATTTCTGCGCGCGCACTTCCTCACCACCCCCTTCATGAGCGCTGTTGTATCACCGCCGTTCTTGTCTGCATGACTGGCTGCTATTGCCGCCATAACTAGTTGGTAACCTGCATCAGCGGCACATGGACATTATCATCGTCATCGTCGTCAACCACCACTTGCGCCGTCATCGGCCTTGCCATCGTCATCATCTCTGCTACCACCATCGCTACCATCATCATCTTTGCCTCCGTTGCCAGCGTTATCCTGATCTCGCACCCGCCTGAGCCACCGACCCGCACCGAGGTGCCCGCGCGCCAGCGCGGCCTTTGAGACGTGCTTGCAAGGTTCCACCGGCAAGCGCCATCGCAGCCGCATCAGATGTGCCAAACCAGTCGGTCGCTCTGCGCGCAAGCTTGCGCGCGCCAGCTCGGCCGCAGAGATGCGCCAGCCAGTGCCAAGCAGTCACCGCAATCGCCGGCGCAGGGGTTTTACAAGACATTTGCGGTTGGGAGGGTGGGATTTTTGTTCGAGCAGTGGAGTCGACACTTCGTTGGTGGCGTTCTGTTTTCCTAACCATCCTGTGGTGTTCGGTCCTCGTTTTGAATACGCATCACCCCGCGTTCCCTCCCTCCCTCCTTCCTGCTTCCCGCTACTCCCGCCCCTGCCCCTGCCCTCCGCAACTCCTCATCACCATCGTCATCATCATTACTCATCATCGCCATTTCCATCACCATCATCATAGTTATCATCATGCTGATCATCAACGTCATCACTTCCACTACCATCGTCGTCTGTGTCGTCACCGTCATCGTCATCGTCCTCGTCATCCTCATCATTGTTATCACTGTCATCGTCGTCATCACCATGCGTAGCACCACCGCCAGGGTAAATGTCAATGCCGTCACCATTATCATCAGCATCCTCCTCTCTTCCCTCGCCCCCCCCCCGCACACTTCGGCACACACCTCAGGCGTTCCGTGGCCCCATACGGTGCCCCACCGAAGGCTTCAGCAGTGAGTATGCATGTGTTTTCCCCACCCATCGCGGCACACCCCTCACACGGTTTGTGGCCCCAGTGTCGCAGCCTGCATGCGCCCCCCCATCCATGACGGCACACCCTTCGCACGGTTCGTGGCCCCATAGGGAGCTCCACCGAAGGCCCCAGTGTCGCAGCCCGCACGCGTTTCTCCCACCCATGTCGGCGCACCCTCACAGGTTTCGCGCCCCCATGGGAAGTCCCCAGTGCCGCAGTCCGCATTTTTCGCCCACCCAGTGCAGCGCTTCGTGGCCTCACCGGGATCTCCACCGAAAACCCTTGTGGCCGCGGCCGCATGCGCCTCCCCCATACAGTGCAGCGCCCGTGGCCCCCAAAGGGGTTCTCCTGAAGGCCTCAGTGACCGCGACTGCATACCCCCCCCGCCCAGTACAGCGAAACCTCAGTCGCCGCGGCTGCATGCTTCCCCCTCCCAGTACAGCGCTTTGAAGCCCCACAGGGACCTTTACCGAATGCCCCAGTGGCCGCGGCCGCATGTGTCTCATAGAGTACAGCGCCTCGTGGCCGCATAACGAACTTCACCGGCGGCCTCAGTGGCCGCAGTCCGCACACGTCCCCCGCTCCCATCAAGGCAATCCTTCAAGTGTGTCGTGGCCCCACCGGGAACCCCACCGATAACGGCACCACAGCGCGGGATTTACAGCTGCATCTGGTTTGGTCTTTTGCTCGACCAATGTTATTTGATGCGTGCATGTTTTTCCCCTAAGGCGCCAGGGAGCAGGCTGTCGATGCATATCGCTTCCAGGCTGTGGAGTATGCTGTCCTCTCCGTATCCTGGCCTTTTTGGCTCAAGAATTCGCAACGGGCGGTGCGAATGGATTTCGATGGGCCTGCTGCTCAGTACGCTTGGCAGGCTGGACTGACCTACCTGTGGAGCGGAAATCTGCAGCTGCCTGCGCCCTCGTCCTTCTGGATCGTCGAGCTGGTGAACGAGCTGCTTCCCGTGGTACGGGGGCTGTGGTACTTGTGCGGCTCGTGGGAGGCGACGGTCGTGGCTTGTCGTCGTCGCGACGCTGGCCGCGCAGTTCGGGGCTCCGACGGAACCAGCGGCACGAAAGATGCGTCCGTGGGCGTGGGTCCAATACGGAGGCGTGGCATTATGGCACCAGCTTCTGATCCTGGGGTTCGGGTGGGGGCGCCGACTGATCCCTCATCGCCCTTCACTGTGCTGATCTGTACCGTCGACGCGGACACCTATGATAAGGGTTTCTCGTGCGAAGGTACGGATATCACTACTTTGCGTTACACAGGGGATCGAGCGTCCTATCCCTCTGGGGTTCGTGTGCCGAATTCCTACCGCTTCCGACGGAACCTGAAACTGACCGAGCATCAGCAGATTGACCAGACGTCCCTGGACTACTGCTCCTCGGCCCGGGCAGCTGATCACCAACGGCCTCGCCTTCCTGCACCTGATGTGCCTGTGTTGGTCCCGCTGATGTTCGGAGGGGTCTTCCCTGGTGTGCTTCCTGGTGGAGGGCTGGCGGCGTTGGTACAGGGGCCGCGGCTCAGGTGGCATCGGGTGCGAGCCCCGGACCTGGTCCTGCTGCGGGTGCCGCAGGTGGGGTGCTGGGTGCGCTCGCTGCGCCTGGTCCTGCTGCGGGTGCTGCAGGTAGGGGGCGGGGGGCGCTCGCTCCAGCGCCGGCAACGGAGGGCGCCTCTGCCGCGGGCGCGGGGGCTTGCGAGGGTGCTGCGGCCGTGTGGGTACTCATCGAGTC